CACACGCGCACCTTTCACCCATGGTAGCTGACTACGGCACGTGCTGGACCCTCATTGTCAACTTCAGGAATTCCAGCTCCTTGCCTGACAACGCCACTGATGCTGCGCTGATACACTTTTTTCCTCTACTCTGGATGTGGAAGGCCTCCAGCCCCTCGCGTGTCACTTTGTCCCTGTGTCGTCCCAAGATGGTGGTGGCACTAAAAAACGGCTCGCACAGGCACTCTTTACAGTGAACCGATAGGTGTCCTCCCACTGTCGCTCCGAGGGAGTACCTGTGCTCGCGGAGCCTTTCATTCAGGCACCGTCCCGCTTGTCCCACGTAGGTTGAGCCGCACGAGAGGGGGATACTGTAGACTACTCCCGTGACACATGGGACGAACGGCCTGGCGTGCTTCTTGCTACACTTGTTTCTGGCGATTCCCTCTGCCTTCGCATGAACTCTGGGGCAGATCTGGCTCATTTTTTCTGGTGCGGAGAAAACCACTGGGATTCCATATCTTTTTCCAACATTTTTTAAATTGTGAGAGGTCCTGTGTAAGTACGGGATAACTACAGGTCGCTTGCGTTCCACATCGCGTTGTGTAGACTGGCTACCCTTTACTTTCTTCAGCAGTTTGCTTGCGACGTCTGAAAGTAGTGTCGTCGGATAGCCAGCTTTCCTCAGTCTTTCTGTCTGTATCCTAAAGCTCTCCCCCAGAGTGTGGAGGCAAGATTTTTTGAGCGCTGAGCTCAGACAAGATGTAACGATGCCCCTCTTCACAACCTTCGAGTGGGCCGACCTCCAGTCGAGGATGCCTTTCTTGGATCGTGGACGATAGGTCCAGTAGACACGCGAGTCTCCTATGCGCAGGGAAAGGTCCAGGTACTGGAGTACCCCTTCTTTTGGGACCTCAAAGGTAAACCTAAGGCCTCCCCCACACTTCTCGAATACCGCCACCACTGTGCCAACCAACGCTTCCAATGTTCCAGATCTTCTGAAAAACACCAAAAAGTCATCCACATTGCGAATTATCTTGATAACACTCGTACCGCCTAGCTCTCTTTCAATGCCACAGTCCACTTCACCGAGGTAAATGTCACTTAAGACGGGGGCTACGCAAGAGCCGATACACACACCCGACTTTTGCCGGTAGCACCCTTCCTGCCACCCGACTACCATTGACTGCAGATAGAATAACAACAACTCCAAAAAGCTTTCCAGGGATACTCCACTAGAACTCCTAAAAGCCAGTTCTCCATTGGCTTCGATGCACCCTTTCACTGCTTCCAGCAATCTGTCGTGCGGCAAGGAGTAAAAAAGATCTTCCACGTCTATACTACAAGCGTGCCTCACCTCTGGACCCTCTGCTTCGAGGTACTCTACAAGCTCCAAAGAATTGAAAACCCTAAAAGGGTCCTTGATATTCAATGACGATAACTGTTTTTGTAGGTAGGAGGCCACCTGCCTTTGCCACGATCCCTTTTCCGTGACAATGGCTCGAAACGGGCACCCTTCTTTATGGGTTTTGGCGCTGAAAAACGTTTGCAGGTGTACATTCTCCGCTTTTTCTACTCTCACCGCCAGCTGGGTTAACGCCAGGCGATCACAAAGTCCTTTTGCCCTGTCTCGAAGTTTCTTCAGATCCACATTGACCGGTCTGAATTTTTTTTTCTCAATGGCCGCGTTTGCCTTTTCATTGAACATGCCCTTTGGTAACACAACAAACTGACCCTCTTTGTCGGATAACATGACACGTAGGTCACTGTCTACCACGAAATCCACCAAAGTGGTAATTGGACCAACCTGTCCTCTTCTTCTTGGTGATTGAAGAACTTCCACACACTCGTGAATGCACCTTGGCCTGTCCCCTTCCATCGCCTTCTCTGCTACGTTCTTGGCCAGAGTCACCAACTCGGAAGGGCTTAGGACCGGCTCGAAGCAGAACTTGGGACCCAGCTCTAACGGCTTGCCAATTTCTGGAGGAATCTCGGCTTCACCCAATGTTGTGTATCCGCGGGTCGACGGAGTCATCAGGTCCTTCTTCTTTGGAAGTTGTGGCCGGATTCTCTGCCACAAGAACTCCGTGGCATCCCTTGCTCTCTTGTTCATCTCATGGTAGAACCTTCGTGAATTGGCAGGGTTTTCCTTTGCGGAGGCACAGGCTACTCTCAGGCAGTCTCGGAAGAACCTTTCCTGGCGCCAGTACTCGGATCTTAAAACACGACACACCCTTTTTGTGTGTCCTTCCGATGGAGCGAGGAGGCCGAAAATCCCCATAGCGAATTATCAAGATAATTCGCAATGTGGATGACTTTTTGGTGTTTTTCAGAAGATCTGGAACATTGGAAGCGTTGGTTGACACAGTGGTGGCGGTATTCGAGAAGTGTGGGGGAGGCCTTAGGTTTACCTTTGAGGTCCCAAAAGAAGGGGTACTCCAGTACCTGGACCTTTCCCTGTCATAGGAGACTCGCGTGTCTACTGGACCTATCGTCCACGATCCAAGAAAGGCATCCTCGACTGGAGGTCGGCCCACTCGAAGGTTGTGAAGAGGGGCATCGTTACATCTTGTCTGAGCTCAGCGCTCAAAAAATCTTGCCTCCACACTCTGGGGGAGAGCTTTAGGATACAGACAGAAAGACTGAGGAAAGCTGGCTATCCGACGACACTACTTTCAGACGTCGCAAGCAAACTGCTGAAGAAAGTAAAGGGTAGCCAGTCTACACAACGCGATGTGGAACGCAAGCGACCTGTAGTTATCCCGTACTTACACAGGATCTCTCACAATTTAAAAAATGTTGGAAAAAGATATGGAATCCCAGTGGTTTTCTCCGCACCAGAAAAAATGAGCCAGATCTGCCCCAGAGTTCATGCGAAGGCAGAGGGAATCGCCAGAAACAAGTGTAGCAAGAAGCACGCCAGGCCGTTCGTCCCATGTGTCACGGGAGTAGTCTACAGTATCCCCCTCTCGTGCGGCTCCCCCTACGTGGGACAAGCGGGACGGTGCCTGAATGAAAGGCTCCGCGAGCACAGGTACTCCCTCGGAGCGACAGTGGGAGGACACCTATCGGTTCACTGTAAAGAGTGCCTGTGCGAGCCGTTTTTTAGTGCCACCACCATCTTGGGACGACACAGGGACAAAGTGACACGCGAGGTGCTGGAGGCCTTCCACATCCAGAGTAGAGGAAAAAAGTGTATCAGCGCAGCATCAGTGGCGTTGTCAGGCAAGGAGCTGGAATTCCTGAAGTTGACAATGAGGGTCCAGCACGTGCCGTAGTCAGCTACCATGGGTGAAAGGTGCGCGTGTGATTGCGTACAGTAATGTCTCTTTCTTCTCTTTTTTTCTTCATTCTTTTTCTTCTTCTTTTCCTGTATAATTTTATCTTTTTTCCTTCTCTTTGTCTTTCTCTTTTTCGTTGAGTAAAGAAGCCGTAGTTGCGAGTCAGCGCTCTGTCCTGTCTGGTGTGTCTCTTCCTATTTCTATCTTCGCGCTGTTTTATTCCATTATGTACAACGATCACCAACTAGCCCAGCTTTCAACATTAGTACCTTATTACACGAATAAAGCTTCCCCGCTAAATTTAGTGGGAAATTTGATGTCACACGGCCTGGCGTTACGAGATATGCAGGCCAATTCAGTTTCCCCGCTCAAATTAGCGGAAAAAAGTACGTCACGTGACCTATACATCAATTCAATTTCCCCGATAAATTTAGCGGGAATGTTGATTTCACGTGACTTGACGTAGCGGGTCCTGCAGACCAATTCGCTTTCACCGCTTAATTCAGCGGAGAAATTGACGTCACACAACCTTCATCCCAATTCAGTTTCCCCGCTAAATTTGGCGGGGAAATTTATGTCACGTTACCTGACGTCACGTAAATTATACACTAATGTAGTTTTCCAGCTAAATTTAGCGGAAAAATCAACGTTACGAGACCCCACGTCATCAGACCTCTACTTTTTAATATATATATATATATATATAGATGCCACGTCATTTATACCATAGAAGACTGTATATATAGTCTTCTAAACAAATTAAAATTATCTCTTTTTAAATACTGCATTTCATGCATTATAGAACTTTGAAGGTAAAATTGCTGCTAATTGAAATGCCACGCGCGTCGTTTCTTCCTTCCACAACCAAATCTTCTAAGAACTAATTCGCGCGCGTCATAAATAATGCGCAAAACTTGATTTTTTACCGCAACAATATGCAGAACTCGTGTCCATTGTTCGCCACACTCAGACCTCCAATTTCTGACGTAGAAACATCAGCACTACGGCCTTTCGGTTAACTAGTATGGTGTGTCGCGGCAGGCCAGGCCACAGCGTAGTCGAAACACGGTCAATTTATTCGGTGTTGTGGATCGTGCCGGGGTGTACCACGTTCGAAACGTGCGCGCACGTCGATTAACCCTTTCAATGTTCCCCTAGTGAATACACCGATCTTATATGAAGCGTTCGGCGGGCCCACAGGGAAACAGGGTTGAGACTTTGGTCCGGACCCACGCGGGATGGAGTCCCACTTTGCTTCTGTGCCGCCTGTCCCAAGTTCTGCGAGTTAGTTTTGCTTCATTTAACTTTCCCCGGATAATGTCCACCAAACTTCTAGCTTCCTCTTTATGACTATGATCCTGTTCTTCTCCATTTTTTTTTTTATTCTCGCCAGAAAAACCCGGCGCCCCCGCCACATCCGCTACACCTCAGGGATGGGAGGGCGAAGTCCCGTGCGCTTCATGACCAAGTGGTCTCCAGCGTCTCACATTCACTATCGCATACGGTATATAATGGGTCGACCTCTTGAGATTGAGCCCTGTACGTCTTTATCATAAACACTACCGCTCTCGCATAGAAATTTAGGGTGAGGGTTTCTTAATGCATCTGCGAAACTACGACCCAGATGACACAAATCAAAAGGTTTGGTGTAATGTCCTGTATACGCGCTTTCGTTCATTTCTCTGCGAAAAGAAAAGAACAGAAGGTGGGTGTTTTCATTTTCGCGAAAAGAGGTCCTACCTTTCTTCGGTTGGCCTCCTGTCTCCTGAGGCTGCCCTGCCTGGTGAGCGAGATGCCTCGGAGCAGGCAGCGCGCGATGCGTCCGCAGGTCCAGCCGATGAAGGCCAGGGGCAGTAGGTACATTAGCAGAAACAGGCAGGCGTAGTAGCCCCTGAGCAAACGTAGAAGGAACAAGGGAGCAAATGAGAAGGTGAAACATCTCACGTTTATCCACTAATCTATTGTACCCTTACGGCACGTTCACACACTTGCGTTTGTTTAGGACCGAGTTTTCGTGACCTCTTACTACGAGAGAACACACTGGCACGATGGCGCCATCTATGAGTTGGCCCTGGAACTGCATTTCACTAAAACAAAGCTTTTCCGGTATTTTCGATATATGATGTACCTACTATTTATACAAAATTGTTTGTTATAACAATGTCAAAACTTTTGTTCGAGAAAAAAAATGGAAGAATGGTGCGCGAAAAAACTAGGACATATACGGAAACTGCAAGTGTTCCCCGGCTACCCGAGAGATGGCACCAGTGGGCGTTTACGTCGCAAGAGATTTTAAAAGGTTTTAAGACACACAGTCGTAAGCCGTCGCAAGTGTGCGAACCCACCTTTGGCGTTTCGAAAACGCCACTCGAGGTGGGACCATATCGGGTTAAAAATAACTTAAAATACAGAGCATAAACATTGCTACCAATTTAGTTGACTAATATTCCCGGCGAACTCTGCTGCTACATCTAGAAAAAAAAAAACGGTTGCAAAAACGAACAAAAACATTGTGAATATGAAATGTGCACGTTTTATTAAATCCAAACCAAAAATGATAACAGACGGCAATTCAAAACATGTCGAGTTTACCGATGATATGTAATACCCCTGCCAGACGGGCTAATTTAGTGCACTTTAAAGGGGTCATGAAACGATTTTCCTACTTCTTCCTCCTTAGCTTTAATCTTCAACTCAAATGCGAATTGTGAAATCACGTGGTCGTGACATTCCTTCGGCACCGGTGCGATGACTCCTAGCTTCCACCGTGCTTTTTATGCACACCATAGACCTTGTCATTCCCCAGTGATGATAAGTTCCGTCAGGGCACTCATTGGCCAAGAACGCGAATCCAAATATTCGTCGACGGATTGATTGTTGACGAGCGCATACGTCCGAGTGACGCAGTTCTCGTGTCCAATGCGTGAGCTGGGCTCTGCTGACGTCAGTTTGGCGCCGGTGACGCGCTTTTGGAACCGCGGATGTATCATAGTGGAAAGGCGGAGAGCTTTCGAAGGCAAGAAGGTACAAAATAGTCCGCTATATTTTCAAATGTTCCTACCGAAAAGCCGGTTTTTGACTTTCTAGCCTCTTTCTTTTGGCCAACTAAACGATATGCGATTAGTAAAGTGCCAATTTAAAATCGTTCATCCCAACCCAAAATTCGTTTCATGGCCCCTTTAACCAAGTGCGCTTCGCCTTTAGTGTCATTTCCGTAGTGTGCCACACGGCTTCTTCCTGAAGAACACACTTAGCTTCGAGTGAGTTTGACGAACCCACTTCATTCGATCGAGTGCGTGGCATCGATAGTTGTGTTTCAGCAGTCAAACTTAACAACACAGAAACCAAAAACGTGGCGTAAATTTTATTAAAGAATAAGAAATTCGTGAAAGAGAGTACAGAGAAGAGTGGCATTGACAAAAATAGTGGGGTGGACTTGGAGTTTAGGCTGAGAGAGAGAGAGAAAGGTGACGCTTTATTAAATTATTTGGGCGAACTTAGCCTTGCCGATTAGGCCGGCATTGTCCCGTCCAGAAATGAAAATGAAATAATAAAATGAATAAAACTAACTGAAATAAATGATGATTCAAGAAGAAAAGAACACACTCACACACGCACACAACACAAGAAAAAAAAACTTAGTGTTTGTTTTGTTTCGAAGATAAGTCACAAGTCCAGTCACGCACACTTCCGGTCTTTCAAGTGTTGATGGCACTCAGTATTTCATTCTATAATCGTGCTTGTAGTCCAGTCGCCTGGAGGAAGTTTAGGAAAAGGGTCCGTAGTAGCTTTCTTCGAGCTCTTCTTCCAGTTGGATATATTAAATCTGTAATGTCGTTGATCTTGAAGTTATGCCTGTCAAGAGGGCATAGTACCTCCAAGCGCCATAGAGAATACATGTAGATTTTTGACGTTTTCAAAAAATTCCTACATGAGAACCGCTCTTTGTATTTGCTTAAAACTTTTACGATAAAGAGATTAAAACTTAATTGTTTCATTGGCGCAGATAATATTTCTCAGTATTTAGCACAAATATATATTTTTAAATCGTGAAATCGACTCAAAACGGTAGTTTTGACACTTTTGGATTTAATGACGTTTTACATAATCTACCAATTTTTAGAAAACAGTCTTGTTCGCGCAAGTGCCTCTAAAATTTAATACGGAATCGATTGGTATCAAAATAATTAGTGTAGGTTAATCCGTTTCGGAACTACAGCGATATTTCCGAAAACGAGTTTTTTCTTTCGGAAAAGAAAACAAAAAAAAAATTTCGTGTGTTTTTCATTTTGTTCTTTTCCCGCTAGATGGCGGTCTCTGTCAGTAGTTTGAGTTCGGTGCACACATTTTTTTTTTGTATTCATACGCGATCTTCTTTCGTTCGAGCGACAGCGAACGCGGTTTAGTTCAACGCTGTGGCGCTTGGCGTTTGGTGCGTTCGAATATTTGCCGTTCGGAAGTGTTGCGTTCGCCTCTGGCGTCATGGGTCGAAAGCAGGCTTCCTACGGCAAGCGAAAGCAGTGCCTGATTGAGAATACTCGTAAGCGACAGTGTGTGGAAGCTTCGCACGTTGAGGTTCCTGGTGAGATCGTCCCATCGTGTTCCAGACCGGATGGTTTTGTTAGCGAGAGGAGCGAAGGTGGTCCTCAAGCCGCGACCGTGCGAGGCTCGCCGTAAGGTGTTCTTCTACGGCCGTACTCCGCGCCCGTATCCTGTTTCATTGTGCACGCCGAGGCGTCAGCGTGCATGTCTCGCTTTCCTGTTTCTCGGTGGATAGGTCTCCGTGTTTTCGCACGTGGCAAATTCACCTTGGAGCCATGGGTCGAAGACAACCGTCCTATGGCAAGCGGGCCGCGAGGTGTTCCAGAACCTCGTGATCCGTCAATGCGTTGTGCTTGTTTGTACTTTTTTTTTTCTGACGCAAAGTTTTATATTATCGTTATCTTTCACACAAACGTCCTTCGGCCTTGGGGTCGTGGAAATCGGGGATGAAGCGTGCACAGAGTAGATCGTTGTTTTCCTCCTTTATATTTTTCACGGACGTTCTGTGAGCTCCGGTTCGTGGTCACCGCAATCTGACACGGGGAAAACCGGGTGGCCTGCTCTGTAGTCAGGGTATTCTTAGGGGAGGGTGATAACTCGCTGTTCTTCTGGAAATTCACAAATATCCCAAAATGGTGACATGGGTAATAATTAAAGTATGTTTTTTTCCGGTGTTTATTTTTGAGCAAAAAGTCGGTGCATGTTTTTCGGTGCTTATTTTTTTAAACACCAGTTTATTATGATTGAACGTCTCGTGATGATGCTAAAAAGCGTTGGTAACAGAGGAAGAAAAATGGGATTGGACAAGAACATTTCCAATTGTATTCACATATCTCATACGCTCTCATCGCGGGAACATCTATCCCGACCAAAAATGCCTGTGAACGCATAATCAGTGTACAATCTCTTGGCCTAGAGAGCTATTGCACACGCCCGAACGCGCTTCACACCCCAGTAAACGAAGTTGGTGGCACCCAGAAGGCGAGTTTTTGAATGGTCTGTAGTAGGCAAAAGAAACAAATAACAATCAAGGCATCTCAGTTCCCCAAGCGAAGAGGCGCGTTTCTAAGGTCAATGGTTCCGGACGACACTAATGTTGTTGACGTTGTCTTCCAAGAACCACACCGACCACTGAATAGGCACTGGGAGGATGGTGGATTGACGAGAAAAAATGTTTCACAAACTTCTACAGAGAAGGCGTTTCGAAGAAACTAGCCGTCGCTAGGGCGGGAACAGTCACCGACTGGAGTGTTTTGGTTTTACCCAGGCCGAATAGAATATTTCGAATCACCTGAGTTTTTCGGTTGGAACCAATTTAGTATTTTTGTCACCGGCGGATGTTTATCAACTCAGAATAATAAAGTTTGTTCTAAAATTATGTGTTTTTTTTTTTTTTTTGGTGAATAGAGGTGATTTGTTGAGTTCAAAACTTCGCATTATCAAAATAACAAACATCGAAACGTTGAACACCGGATTATGAAGTTGCTAAAAGGCCAAAGCGCCGGAAGGCAACCCTGAACTGCAACAATATTTATTTACTTCGACTTCGGAACGTATTTTTGCAAGGCAAACTGGACGAGGGCAAGAAAGAAGGGAGAATAAAAGGGCCGGGAAGGGAAAGGTAGTTCGGAAAAATAGAGTGAGGAGAATAAGGAGTTTCAGCAGATCGTTTCCGCAACCCGCTAAGCGCTAGCTTAGCTCTGCGTCATCCGCCACGAGACCTTGAACTATGCAGAAAAGACTGGAGGCGTGCATGCTCAGTTGCGACGCGTTCTTTGAGGATACCGATACGGAGGAGAAAAACGGCCTGCTGAATCTCGCTATCTCCAAAGCTGACTGGTAATGCCACGCAGAGGAAACAGCGGCCAAACGTTCCGGGCGTTGAAAATCAACCCCCTTTCGAGATACGCTCATGAAGGTGGTGCATATATATGTTATGTTTGCAGCGACGCATAGCAAACGCCTCAACGATCGCGATTCCTTTCAAACTCTGGCCCACGCAAATGATAATCTACAACGCGGTTAAAAGCGATGTCTTGGGCACTCCGATAAGTCGTTTTTGTTCGCACTGCGGATTATCGGTTTCCCGAAGTTAGCACAAAGAAGTTCAAAGTGGGGAGTTTCTGTGTGCCTAACAGAAAATTAAGCACCCTCAACATTCCATAGCTTCGCTTAGTGAAGTGGCCTACTAATCCTTGGGGTCTCGTGCCTAGTTGTTCTGAAAACAGAGAGAAAAAAAAAGAAAGAAAGAAGGAACTCTTGAACGTTTTTGTTTAGACTTGAGTGACACACCCAACCTCTTTCGTAACAAGAGTCGTAAGAAAATTTCTACCTCTCTCCAATATATGT